CCACTGGTTCTTCACGTTCTGCAGATGTAGATGCCACTGGTTCTTCACGTTCTGTAGATGCCGCTGGTTCTTCACGTCCTGTAGATGTAGATGCCACTGGTTCTTCACGTTCTGTAGATGTACATGCCACTGGTTCTTCACGTTCTGTAGATGTAGATGCCACTGGTTCTTCACGCTCTGCAGATGTAGATGCCACTGGTTCTTCACGTCCTGTAGATGTAGATGCCACTGGTTCTTCACGTTCTGTAGATGTAGATGCCACTGGTTCTTCACGTTCTGTAGATGTAGATGCCACTGGTTCTTCACGTTCTGTAGATGTAGATGCCACTGGTTCTTCACGTTCTGCGGATGTAGATGCCACTGGTTCTTCACGTTCTGCGGATGTAGATGCCACTGGTTCTTCACGTTCTGTAGATGTAGATGCCACTGGTTCTTCACGTTCTGTAGATGTCACTGGTTCTTCACGTTCTGTAGATGTAGATGCCACTGGTTCTTCACGTCCTGCAGATGTAGATGCCACTGGTTCTTCACGTTCTGTAGATGTAGATGCCACTGGTTCTTCACGTTCTGTAGATGTAGATGCCACTGGTTCTTCACGTTCTGTAGATGTAGATGTCACTGGTTCTTCACGTTCTGTAGATGTAGATGCCAATGGTTCTTTACGTCCTGTAGATGTAGATGTCACTGGTTCTTCACGTTCTGTAGATGTAGATGCCACTGGTTCTTCACGTCCTGCAGATGTAGATGCCACTTGTTCTTCACGTTCTGTAGATGTAGATGCCACTGGTTCTTCACGTTCTGCGGATGTAGATGCTGTTGGTCCTGCAGATGTAGATGCCATTGGTTCTTCACGTTCTGCAGTTGTAGATGCCACTGGTTCTTCACGTTCTGTAGATGTAGATGCCACTGGTTCTTCACGTTCTGTAGATGTAGATGCCGCTGGTTCTTCACGTTCTGTAGATGTAGATGCCGCTGGTTCTTCACGTCCTGTAGATGTAGATACCACTGGTTCTTCACGTTCTGCAGATGTAGATGCCACTGGTTCTTCACGTCCTGTAGATGTAGATGCCACTGGTTCTTCACGTTCTGCAGATGTAGATGCCACTGGTTCTTCACGTTCTGCAGATGTAGATGCCACTGGTTCTTCACGTTCTGTAGATGACGCTGGTTCTTCACGTCCTGTAGATGTAGATGCCACTGGTTCTTCACGTTCTGTAGATGTACATGCCACTGGTTCTTCACGTTCTGTAGATGTAGATGCCACTGGTTCTTCACGCTCTGCAGATGTAGATGCCACTGGTTCTTCACGTCCTGTAGATGTAGATGCCACTGGTTCTTCACGTTCTGTAGATGTAGATGCCACTGGTTCTTCACGTTCTGTAGATGTAGATGCCACTGGTTCTTCACGTTCTGTAGATGTAGATGCCACTGGTTCTTCACGTTCTGCGGATGTAGATGCCACTGGTTCTTCACGTTCTGCGGATGTAGATGCCACTGGTTCTTCACGTTCTGTAGATGTAGATGCCACTGGTTCTTCACGTTCTGCGGATGTAGATGCCACTGGTTCTTCACGTTCTGCAGATGTAGATGCCACTGGTTCTTCACGTCCTGTAGATGTAGATGCCACTGGTTCTTCACGTTCTGTAGATGTAGATGCCACTGGTTCTTCACTGTTCTGTAGATGTAGATGCCACTGGTTCTTCACGTTCTGCAGTTGTAGATGCCACTGGTTCTTCACGTTCTGTAGATGTAGATGCCACTGGTTCTTCACGTTCTGTAGATGTAGATGCCGCTGGTTCTTCACGTTCTGTAGATGTAGATGCCGCTGGTTCTTCACGTCCTGTAGATGTAGATGCCACTGGTTCTTCACGTCCTGTAGATGTAGATACCACTGGTTCTTCACGTTCTGCAGATGTAGATGCCACTGGTTCTTCACGTTCTGTAGATGTAGATGCCACTGGTTCTTCACGTTCTGCAGATGTAGATGCCACTGGTTCTTCACGTTCTGTAGATGTAGATGCCACTGGTTCTTCACGTTCTGTAGATGTAGATGCCACTGGTTCTTCACGTTCTGTAGATGTAGATGCCACTGGTTCTTCACGTTCTGTAGATGTAGATGCCACTGGTTCTTCACGTTCTGTAGATGTAGATGCCACTGGTTCTTCACGTTCTACAGATGTAGATGCCACTGGTTCTTCACGTTCTGTAGATGTAGATGCCACTGGTTCTTCACGTTCTGTAGATGTAGATGCCGCTGGTTCTTCACGTCCTGTAGATGTAGATGCCACTGGTTCTTCACGTCCTGTAGATGTAGATACCACTGGTTATTCACGTTCTGCAGATGTAGATGCCACTGGTTCTTCACCTTCTACAGATGTAGATGCCACTGGTTCTTCACGTTCTGTAGATGTAGATGCCGCTGGTTCTTCACGTTCTGTAGATGTAGATGCCACTGGTTCTTCACGTTCTGCAGCTGTAGATGCCACTGGTTCTTCACGTTCTGTAGATGTAGATGCCGCTGGTTCTTCACGTTCTGTAGATGTAGATGCCATTGGTTCTTCACGTTCTGTAGATGTAGATGCCGCTGGTTCTTCACGTTCTGTAGATGTAGATGCCGCTGGTTCTTCACGTTCTGTAGATGTAGATGTCACTGGTTCTTCATGTTCTGTAGACGTAGATGCCACTGGTTCTTCACGTTCTACAGATGTAGATGTCACTGGTTCTTCACGTTCTGTAGATGTAGATGCCACTGGTTCTTCACGTTCTACAGATGTAGATGCCACTGGTTCTTCACGTCCTGCAGATGTAGATGCCACTGGTTCTTCACGTTCTACAGATGTAGATGCCACTGGTTCTTCACGTTCTGTAGATGTAGATGCCACTGGTTCTTCACGTTCTACAGATGTAGATGCCACTGGTTCTTCACGTCCTGCAGATGTAGATGCCACTGGTTCTTCACGTTCTACAGATGTAGATGCCACTGGTTCTTCACGCTCTGCGTGGTCACTGCGTGTTCGTTATCTACGCCGGCCTTCCGCCTAATGGTTTAGTGCTGTAGGCGGCAGGGGGGGGGCTGATCCCACGGTCAAGGGTCAAGGGTCAAGATTCAAACGTCAGAAGGCTCAAAAGACTGGGGTGAGGTTGTAATAAACCACGCGTTTATTCAGAGTCGTGACCTAGCAGCCCGCTCCTCACAAACTCCACGCACTTCTTTGGTGACGATGAAGACTTCGTGTCTCCCTGTGTCCGCGTTTGTGTCTGTGTGTGTGTGTCTCAAGGTGCACGTGGCCTGGCACAAGCGTCGTGGTGACGTCACAGCCACTTCGTGGCGAATGGCGGTTGTTGTTCTTGTGTGTATGTGTGTGTTTATGTGTGTGTGTCTGTGTGTGTGTCTGTGTGTGTCTGTGTGTGTCTGTGTGTGTATGTCTGTGTCTGTGTGTGTGTCTGTGTGTGTCTGTGTGTGTGTCTGTGCGTGTGTGTCTGTGTACGTGTGTGTGCACGTGTGTGTGTGCACGTGTGTGTGTGTACATGTGTGTGTGTACATGTGTGTGTGTGCACGTGTGTGTGCATGTGTGTGTGTGTGTACACTGTGTGTGTGTGTACACTGTGTGTGTGTATACAATGTGTGTGTGTACACTGTGTGTGTATGTGTGTGTACACTGTGTGTGTGTGTAGACTGTGTGTGTACACTGTGTGTGTGTACACTGTGTATGTGTACGCTGTGTGTGTGTACACTGTGTGTGTGTGTACACTGTGTGTGTATGTGTGTGTACACTGTGTGTGTGTACACTGTGTGTGTGTACACTGTGTGTACACTGTGTGTACACTGTGTGTGTGTGTACACTGTGTGTGTGTACACTGTGTGTGTGTGTGTGTACACTGTGTGTGTGTGTGTGTACACTGTGTGTGTGTGTACACTGTGTGTGTGTACACTGTGTGTGTGTACACTGTGTGTGTGTGTACACTGTGTGTGTGTACACTGTGTGTGTGTGTGTGTACACTGTGTGTGTGTACACTGTGTGTGTGTGTACACTGTGTGTGTGTACACTGTGTGTGTGTGTGTACACTGTGTGTGTCTGTGTGTGTGTAGTGTAGCAGGTAGCGCTACGCTGCGCTACGAATCCGGCGACCCGAGTTTGATTCCCGCTCACGGCCAACACCACACACAGTGACGGCCTCCCCTAGGTTGACTCAGCCTCAAATGAGTAACCTGGTGCCATGGTGTAGTGGTGGTGGTGGTGTAGTGGTGGTGGTGTGGTGGTGGTGTAGTAGTGGTGGTGTAGTGGTGGTGGTGTAGTGGTGGTGTAGTGGTGGTGGTGTAGTGGTGGTGGTGTAGTGGTGGTGGTGTAGTGGTGGTGGTGGTGTGGTGAACATCGCTAGCACTGGAGGAGAGACAAAGACGGCCGGGCGTGGTGCTGCTGGGCCACCCACCCCCTCTGTGTGACCCACAGTGCCCCAGTAGCCTTCATAGACCCTGCTACTCACTAGCACAGCACTTGCCCCTACAGCCTGTTACAGGCTACACGGGAGAGCTTTGTCTTTGTCTCTCTGTGTCTGTGTGCGTGTCTGTGTGTCTCCACGTGTCTCTACGTGTCTCCACGTGTGTGTGTCTCCACGTGTGTCTGTCCCCACGTGTGTCTCCACGTGTGTGTGTGTGTCTCCACGTGTCTCCACGTGTGTGTGTGTCTCCACGTGTTTGTGTCTCCACGTGTGTCCCCACGTGTGTGTGTGTCTCCACGTGTGTCTCCACGTGTGTCTCCACGTGTCTCCACGTGTGTGTGTCTCCACGTGTTTGTGTCTCCACGTGTGTCTCCACGTGTGTGTGTGTGTGTGTCTCCACGTGTGTGTGTGTCTCCACGTGACTCCGAGTGTCTCCGCAAGTCTCCGCGTGTCTCCACGCGTCTCCACGTGTCTGTGTCTCCGCGAGTCCCCGAGAGATCTTCGCGTGTCTCTGCGTGTCTACACGAGTCTCCACGAGTCTCCACGTGTCTCCACGTGTCCTTGTCTCCACGAGTCTCCGGGTGTCTCCACGAGTCTCCACGAGTCTCCGCGTGTCTCCGCGTGTCTCCGCGTGTCTCCACGTGTCCTTGTCTCCACGTGTCTCCGCGAGGATCCACGAGTCTCCGCGAGTCTCCACGTGTCTCCGCGTGTCTCCACGAGTCTCCACGTGTCTCCACGTGTCTCCGCGAGGATCCACGTGTCTCCACGAGTCTCCACGTGTCTCCACGTGTCTCC